GTGTGTGTGTGTGTGTGTGTGTGTGTGTGTGTGTGTGTGTGTGTATGTGTGTGTGTATGCTTGCTTGGAGCAGGGGACACTGGAAAATGATTGAGGATGAAGTGTCTGCTAGGTGGGGGCAGGGGATGAAGGGGTTGGCCTTAGAGCGACTCACTGCCTGGCCTGGCATTTGGCACACTTTGACATTCAGCTTTGGAGCCTGAGGGTGAGGACAAGGATTCAGACTCAGGACCTGAACTGGGTGCTGCAGGGCAAGGAAGAAACTGAAGTAGGTGGGTATGAGTGCATTTCCTGGGGGGAGATTGGGGTGCTGACCTGGGACAGAGCAGGCAACAAAGCCTCCAGGTTGCAGCCCCTGCCCTCCCCACCCCCCATGACATAAGGCTCTATGATTATCAGCCTACTGATATATGTGTTTGTGTCTGTGCATCCCTTTGAACTCTACAACGCTGTGATTCTGTAACGTTTCTTTGTATGCATGTGTGTATACATATTTCTCTTTCTATCTGTGTTTGTGTGTCTGTGTGAACACGTCTCTGTCAGATACCAGTTAGACTAGATGACCTCTGAGGTCTGAGGTCTCTTCCAACTCTGACTGTGTGTGTGTGTGTGTGTGTGTGTGTGTGTGTGTGCACTCTCACTCTTGCCAGGCTCTAGGTTCAGTGGTCAGGGCTATCTTTGGAACCCAGTGCTCCAATCAGAGAAGCTGCCTGGCAGGGACTTAGGGGCTGGGAGCTGGCAGGTCCCTGGGGTGGACCCCGTCATCCACCCTGGTTGGTAGGTGCATGCCTGGATCTGAACTTGGTCTTGGCTGTATCTCTGGCAGGGCCCCTTCCTGTCTCTTGGGTGGCCTATGCAATGAGGTCCAGGAATGAGGACAAGACGTGTGTGTATATGGAGAGATTGAGGGCTGAGCTCACACGGTGACTCTGGCCTGTGTCAAATATCTTCCTCAATCCCTTACCCCCCTGAGTTGAATCTCGTAGTCTCTGTTCCCTAGTCATTCTCTGGGGTATCTAGATCCTCAGAGGTAAGAGAAGGCTGGAAAACTGAGGCCATAGGAACCTTGGTCCCAACCTTCGTTAGAATCAGTGAGTCTGAGTGAACTGCAGAGGATGGGGAGTGAGAGTGGTAACTGTGAAGGTTGATGCTTCCCCTAGCCCAGTCCAGCTCAGGCCAGGCCAGCCTAGCCCAGCCCAGCCCGGCCTAGGCCCGAGACAGTACGTGCCTTTGGCAGCAGCATACACAGTGCCTGCAGTGAGAGTGGTAGTGGGGTGGCAGGTGTTGGGCTGGGGTGATGTTTTACAGCAAAACAGTAAGACATGGCATTGGGGTCTCAGAGACCTAGGGGAAGACACATCCCAGGACCCACAGTATCCCCTCTCCCACAGGCTGTGGGTGGTGGGTGCAACATGAAGGGCAGGGTTGCTAAGGTGAAAGGGCTGGGGCTCCAGGGGGTGGGGTTCAGAGGTGATGAAGCCAGGGCAGGGGCAGGGGCAGAGGCGACAGGCCCAGAAGGAGCAGCAGCTGCAGGGACACCAGGATGCCCAGGGATGCTCTGAAGGAGGCTCCTCCACCACAGTCTGAGGTATCTTCCTGTAGGCACACAGATGGTCAGGGAGTTGGGGGTGGTCTGGGGAGAAGGGGCAGCCAGACTTCTGGAAGTCTGTGTCTCTCAGGTTCCTCACTCCCCTTCTCTGTCCCTATCTCGTATCTCCCATTTTCACTCCCTGCTTGACTCTTCTGTCTTGCTGCTTACCGTTGCATTGTAGTCAAAGCAGATGTGAGGTCCTTTCCTATATCGTGGCTTCTGTACCAGCTCACACTGCTCCGGCCCATCAGCTGGGCATGGGGGAGGCGAGTCAAGGAAGCCAGTGACCCAGAAAAGCTGTGTGTGTGTGTGTGTGCGTGTGTGTGTGTGTGTGTGTGTGAGAATGCTCATGCATTCATGCACATAGGTGGGGATGGGGTTGCCCAGTCTCTGGGCTGAGCTGGCAAGAAGCCTGCATCTTGGTCAGACTTGCCAGATCTAAAGTTTAAATTGGGGAGGGACCGGGGAGGGGAGCCTGTATGCCTCAGGATACAGCGCCTCTCTGCTTGTAGCAGTTTGCCTGATTCACACTGGCTGCACAGGGGCTTCTCCGCCACGACAAAGAGCAGGTTGGTGTTGGCCAGTCTCTGGGCGTGGAACAACCTGCATGGACCAAAGGCAGGCAGGAATGGGGGACAGCGTTACTAGAAACACTCCTCTATTCCCCCTCCCTGCCCCAAACCAAGCCCTGGGCTCCTGCGTCCACACTGGTCAGGGGGCTTTGGCCCGGGGGAAATGTGCCAGCATGAGGCCCTGCTTGGTGGAGGCCTCTTCCAGCATCTTTCCCCAGCTTCTCTCCCCTCCTCCCCAGCTGCCCATGCAGACCTGGAGCAGTTCCCGCAGTCTATGATGCTGTTGTAGGAGGCATTGGTGGTGCTGAAGTAATACTGGGTCTGTTTCATGATGCAGCTGGTCTCCCTGGTCTCCGAGCTCTCAGCTGCTGCATCTTCTGCTTGGAGGTTGGGGAGTGAGTCCCTCTGGCCCTTTGTCTCTTCCCCAGCCCCTCCAATACCCTTCAGATTCCAACCCTGTCATTCGGGCTCCCTAACTGGGTCCCATCCCCCTGTGGCCCCTGGCCTAGGCCCCATTTTTGAGGGGGCCCACGTCCCCTGACTAGTCTCCTAAAGTATTCCCCAGGGATAAATAATTGGCTGGACAAAGAGAAAGGACTAGGTGGTAGTGATGATTAGAATTTCTGGAATCCTTCGCAAGGGGGATGCTGTCTGTAGAATGGGATTCCCTGTCAGGGACAGGGAATCTTGTGATAACAATACCTCCCCCCTCTGCCCCCACCCCCCACCTACAAAGTGCATTCCTCACAATGACCCACTAAGGAACAGGCAGTGCAAGTATTATTGTACACATTTTACAGAGAAGGAAACTGAGGCTCTGGGGAGAGGAGAAGCCCCTAGTCATATACTAGGATTTAGGATCTGAAGCCCAATGCTTACTCCTTCAATCTCTCTCCTCCAACAGGGATAAACAAGTTTTTCTCTGGGGAGTTGTCTCCCTGCCTTCTCCCTCCCTGTGTCCCCTCTCTCCTCTGCCCCCAACCCTCAATCTCCAACCAGGTATCTGTGCTGGGACCAGGTTTATTTTCTAGCAATGAAAATAAATACAGGACATCCAAAAATGTCTTTAGCTATGATAATAATAGCTTAAAGAAGCCTGAAGAACTGAGAGCTGCACAAAGACTTTTGGGACACCTTGTATTTGTATCAGGACTCTGGAAGGGGTATGGAACAGTGAGCTTTTCAAGTCTGAACATTTCTGAGTTTGGCTTGAAGCTCTGTTCTGTTTCCTTTTTTCTACACATCCTTTCCTTAACACTTCCTTACATCTCGAAATTCATTCCTGTAAAGAGTGGAGATTATCTGGAGATCCTATAGCCCCATATTGTGTCCCATCCCAAACTCAGGCAACCTCAGAAATAAAATCGTAGAGACAGAAGGAGCTAGGGAGCCATCTAGGACTAGCTCACTCCCACCCAGTGCAGATATCTCTTCTTTAAGGTTTCATATAGCGGCTGGGCAAGTGGTTGTCCAGATGCTATATGAAAACTCCCAGCAATAGGGAGCTCCCGATGCAGGCAGGCAGTCTGTCTGTCCCATTGTTAGATAGTTCTAGACATTAATTAGAATGGTCTTCCCGATGTTAAGCCAAAATCTAATTCTGCCCTCCTGGGGCCAAGCAGAAAAAAGGCTAAGCCTTCTTCCAAATGCTAGTGTTTCTTAAAGACAGGAGTCATATGCTTCCCAAGTCTTCCCTAGGTCAAACGTCCCCGGCCCCTTTCCCACCCCATCCCTTTGTTCACATGGCACAGCACCTGCTTGGAACCAGCTATGATAGGTGAGTCCATAGAGAAGCTGCTGGAGCAATGACCTGCGGAAGATGGGGCGCAAAGGGAATTAGGCTGAGATTTGGGGTTGTACCTGTCTAGGTGCCCTCCTCAGACCCTGCCCACTGCTCCCATCCTGTGCCTCCCTGAGGAGCCAAGCTTCATGCCCTTAACAGTAAAGTGTACGTTGCCCCATCCTTGTTCCAGAGGCTCACCAGGCTGCTGCTGAAGTCCACCAGGCCAGGTTGAGGAAGTCAGCGATGGTAGGCTAGGGAGAGGGGAGGATGAGCTCCCACAACTGGTTCCCCCTAGGGACCCCTCCTCCTGAACTCAGCCCCTTCTCCCCAGGAGCTTCTGTTGCTCTCTCCAGACCCCCAACATTGGCTCCCAGGCTAGCTCTGCCCAAAGCACCGACCCAAACCCTGCCAAGACCAGTAAGGGGATTCTCAAGCCTGGGGACCCTTCCTTCAACCCTGGGAGAAGACAGGACGGAGCTCCTGGGCTGTAGATCTCTTGGGGGCCAACAGGGTAGGAGTCTCTCACGTACTATGAAGACACCTCTGGGGGCAGCGCCTGTGTTGCTCTGGGCCCGGGGGGTGCATACAGCCTGGTAGTCAAAGGACTCTTTGTGAGTGTAGAAGGAGTTATTGTAAAGTGCTAACATCAGGTTGGCATCCACTTCGCTGAAGAACTTGCCCACCTACAAGACGAAGGAGGCTTTCCTAGGCATAGAGCAGGATGACAGGGCTAGGACTGGTTTGTGGCTCGGCTCCAGGAACCTCAGAGAGGAAGGGACAGTGTACTCTGGGCCACTCTCCCCATCCCAGCCTTGCTTGCTCACCTGGTCCCACTGATTGTACTGGTTGGAGAGTACCAAGAACCCACCGTCATCAATGAGAACACAGAGTAAATCCTGAAAGAGGGAGGAGGTAGTGAGTTGTGATCAACCTTCCCTGGGAACCAGGGTGTGTGTGTGGGGTGAAGAGCATCTTCCTAGTGCCCCGTGGGGTGAAAGTTGCCCCTCTCTACCCATGACTTGGTCAGGTTCTCTACTCAGAGGGAGACCAGAAGGTGAAGATGAAAGAACGCCCGATGAGCAATTCTAGGATCGTTTGAATTCTGGTTCAGTTCCTACCAGTGTGGACCTGAGTAATTCACTTCCTCCCTCTGGGTCTCAGTTTCTTGCTTTCAATCTTAGGATCCTATGATGCTTTTCTGGGATAGAGTAAGGAGAGGAGAGAGAAGGGGGTGGGCCGGGAAGGAAGGAGTTTTAAGACTGCCACATACCTCATTGTTCACATCACAGTCCATCTCACAGTGGCTATTGGGGCCACACTGTTTGGAGAGAAACCAAAGGTTGCTTCAGGGCAGGCATGGGGGCTAGGAGAGCGAAAGAGTTTCTTTCTCCTTTGGCTCAGCATCTCACAGAAGGGACTTCCTCCTTCCTTTCTCCACATTCTCCCTCCCCCACAGACTGGCATCTTCATAGACCATATGTTGAGGTTGTGTGGTTCTTTAGGTCAATAGAAACAACACCCTATCTCTCTGTCCTGGGGTATGATGGATTCTGAATAAAGAGTTCCCAGGATTGGGAAGCTTGGGCTTTGCCCAAGGGTAGAAAGAGTAGCTGAGACCTGAGCTCCTGGATCTGGAGAATAATTCTGCTGATTGGGGCAGGGGAAGGAACTCTCAGAGCCTGCCCCTCAGTTAGAATCTCTGGTGCTTCCCGCCTACCTTCTGTGGCTGGTCCCGGTCTGTTCGGTTACTGGCTAACACCTTGAACTTCTCAGCCCAGGCTTCCAGGTCCAACTTCACTCCCACCACTGTGGAGGGAGAGGGTGCTGCTCAGGGGCCAGGGCCCTCCTCAGGTCCCCTTTAGTTGTCTCTTCTTAATTTTGATCCCCTTCCTCTGCCCCACTCCCCAGTGGCTGTGCCTTTTACCTTCAGGCTTCAGCACCAGCGTTCTTTAGTGTGAGTTGCACACCCTGGTTAGGTCCCCTGAGGACACATCCCTGCCCTCTTCCTTCAGGAGAACTACCCCAGATCCCTTTCCTCCAAGGTCTATATCCCTTCCTTACCTGCAGGTTTTAGTGTCCTTCCCCCAAGTGTGAGTTCCACAGCTGTGCTCACCAGGATGCCCATGGTGTTGTTCTCCAGCTCTAATGGTCTAAGGAGAGCTGAGGAGGGAGGGGATGGGTGTGGAATGAGAGGAGAAAAAACCCAATGGTCTGAAGGAGCCCCCGTGCCTGGGAGGGGCAGAATGCCTAAAGCCAGCATTCAGTTCTCCTCTCTGCTAGACTTGCCTACCCACTTTGGGAGCTTCTCAAAGGTCCTAAGTCCTTTCCTTTTCCTATAGTCTGCCATTCTCATTTGGCATACAGTGGTAGGCTGGGGAGGGCAAGGCAGAGGAGAGGCATTGCATTGCTCAGGTTAGTGCGGGGAGAAGCCCTAGTGTCCCTCAGAGATTATAAAGGGCAGTCTCCTACTGAGCCCAGAGAGAGCAGTTATTGAGGATTCATACTCAGGGTTTTGCATGTTTCTTGAAGGACCTAAATGTCCTCTTGCCACTTACTCTGTAAGTCTCCCTGCACCCTTCTCACTCCATTCCCGGGCACATGGAGGACAGGGGAACTATGACTTGGGAGCCCCTTGCCTGGTTGAGGAGTACCTGGACACAACGGGCCAGGGCTCAGGAGCCTTTATTAGGCTCACTTACAATCATGGTATGGAGGTTTGAAGATGTAGCCCTGGTTGTCCAGGCTGCGCCGGTAGAAGCTGGCATTGAAGGGCTCGGGGTTCTCATCCCAGTCCTCGGCTGCCCTAGAAACCCAAAGTGTTACAGAGGGGCACAGGAGGAGGGCCAGGGGGCTGGGGAGGCCAGAAGGAGGGCATAGAGCCTGGGATGGGCAAGAGAATTTTGGGAAGTCTGGGAGGGGGCTGTAAGCAGGAAGGCAGCAAGGGTCTTGGAGGAGCTGAGACTGGGTCTCAGAAGACAGGAGAGGGGCTGCTGGGGGCATGGAGTACTGAGCCTGTTCTGCAAAGTTTATTGCAGGCACTACATTACTATCTGATTTTGGCATTGAGGGCACAGAATTGGAATGTGGGGATCAGGGTGAGGGCAAGCCTTGAGTTGACTCACTTGTTGGGGAAAACCCGGGTGATGCCCCCATCGGTAGCAGCAAACACAGCAAGGAGGCTGTACCTGAGGGTGGAACAGGGTCAGCACAAAGGGAAGCAGTTCTGGGACTGCCTGCATTGACTTCTGGGGTACAGGGCAAGGGCCTCGGAACCATAGACCGCAGGAGAGTATGTCTGCCGCTGTCCTTGGGTTTGGGCGCTTGTGCTGTGCAGAACACCCTCCCGTCCACCCTGCTCCTGGGGCTACGACCCGGCCATTGTGGTACCCTCCTCCTAACTCTTAGGGGGGCATCCCATCAGGGGCCCGAGCTGGGGGTCTGGTGGCAGTGGTGAGGAAAGCCTCGCATAGTTCCCGGAGCAGGGAGGGGCAGTGCCTACGTGTTGAGGTCCTGGTCCTTCCACACCTTCTCCACCAGTTGCTGTGTGATGCCAGTGTCCAGAATCAGGTTGTGTAGAAGGAAGTTGTTACCTTCAGAGTTAGGTGGGGAGGGGAGAAGGGAAAGGCCTGGTTTCCTCTGTTCACTGTGCTGCAGCCCCTCTCCCACCCCATGCCTCTTACTCCTGCCCTTGTCCTTTCCTCCTTTCTGCTAAGCCTAGTCAGGGGCCACTGAAAAGGGACTTCAAAGCCCCTTCACCCGGAGGCTGTTTCTGAATCCTCACATCGTTTCTGCTCCATTCCTGATACTGGTTCTCTGACCTCCATGTGCTTGGGGGCTCAGGATGAATTAGACTTATTTGTTGTTGTTGTTGTTGTGCATTACTATGTAACATATAATAGATAATGCTTTTTATGTATCCTGTCTCCCTATGGTTGTCTCTCCCTCAGACTAGGGACTCCCTTAGGTTAGGAGCTCTCTCCTCCTCAGACAAGGGGCTCTCCTAGGATGGGACAGTTGTCTTGGACTCGGGGTTCTGCAGGACAGGGGCTGCATCTTTCTTTCAGACTAGGGGGCTCCTTGTGGGTAGGGTTCTGTCTTCACCTAAGGCATGCCTCTTGTTTCTCCATCATTGTTTCTTATTCTCTTTGGCTCCTTTATCACAGGGACCCCTGTCCTTTGTCCCTCCTGTTTCTCATCCTTTCTTTCTTTTCTGGTCGTGGCACCCTTCCCATAGCCTGAGTTTTGGCTTTGCTGCATAGGGATTGGGGTAGGTTCAACTTAGGGCCAGGTGTTATAGGGCACAGTGGGGCCACTCCCCAACACTCACACTGCTTGGAGTCTGGAGTCACCTTCTCCATGAGCTCAATAAAATTCTTGAGAAATTCTGTGTTGTTGTCCGAGGCGTTCAGGTCCTTGCAGTACTCTCTGGGAAGGGGAGGGGGAGAGGGGGGCAGGGGACCAGTGGGTGACCCCACAATGGATGGGCCCACTCACTGCGTGTGCTGTGCACTCACCCAGGTGGAAGATATGAGCTTGCATTAAGGGGGACTGTGTGTGCATGTATGGGATGTTCTGTGTATCAATAGTTATGTATGATACATGGGTGTATTTCTGTATACATATGGTTTACATGGTTGCCTTTTTGTGTATGTGCCCCAGTACTCTTGGCATGTGATTGAACATATGTTTTCTTTTTAATTGCACTTTTTTTAGGCAATTGGGGTTAAATGACTTGCCCAGGGTCACACAGCTAGTAAGTGTCAAGTGTTTGGTCTGAGGCTGGATTTGAACTCAGGTCCTCCTGACTTCAGGGCCAGTGCTCTATCCACTGCACCACCTAGCTGCCCCTTCATTGCACTTTTTAATGTCATTTTTACTGTTACCCATTGCAGACCATAAGTTTTCAGAGAGCTCCTTTCCTGTTCTATCTCCTCCAGATTGTGAGCCTCCTTGAGGGCAGGTCCTGGGACTGACTGCACCTTCTCTGTCTCTCCCTCTACACTGAACACAGGATTTGATACACAGGGGGCTCAGGAAAATAGCTAGCATTTCTATAGCCTTTAAGGTTTGCAAAAACACTTTGCAAATGTGATCTCATTTGGTTCTTATAACAATGCTGTGAAGTAGATGCTTTTTTTAGCCCACATTACAGAGGAATAAACTGAGGCTCAAAGAGGTTAAGTGACTTACCAGGGTCAAACAGCTAGTGTTTGAATCAGGATTTGAACTCTGGCTTCCTGACTCCAAGTCTAGGCCTCTAGCTTCTATTCCTCCTAGCCTCTTAAAGAAAAATTTATTGGTTGATTGATTCATGAGTTAGGGTTATAGTATTATAGGATCCTAGATTCAGATGGAAGGGACCTTAGAGGTCAAGTCTAATTCCCTCATATGATATTGGTCTTAGCATGTTTGAGTATAATAATGATAATAATAATATGTGTTTGCAAATTACTTTATATACATTACTTGGTCCACCCCTCACAATGCTAGGTATTATTATTAGCTTCATTTTGCAGACTAGGAAACAAATTCAGAGAGTTTAACTGATTTGCCTGAGAGTTATCCAGCTAATTGGTGTCAGAGTTGGGATCAAACCAAGGTTTTCCTCACTCCAAATATAGTACTCTATAGTATTTTTTTTTCTTACAATGCACTGCCTCTCTGCCCATTCATATATGTGAGTTTGCAGTGTGACTATGAGTAAAAGAATAGGTAAGCTTCCCTCTGGTCAGATGAGGGAATTTGTAATCTTCCGAACTATCTGCTATAAAGGCATCTGTGCCAGTACATTCCCAGGCATGAGGTGTGTGGAAGGGTACCATTATGGATCTCTAGTACAGGTGGGGGTGTGACTGTGTGTGTAGACAATCCTGTAGGCAACTTAGAGCCTCTCCAGCAGAGACATGGGCCAGGCATTGCCACTTAGACAAGGGATGCCAGAGATGGGTGTTACTTTTTCGTAACACAACATACAGTCCTCCATGTGTGACACTACCCTCTATTCTTAAATCCCTTACCCTTTTGTGGTAACACCAGTCAAGCCTTGACAAACTCAAACCCTGGATTACCTCCATCATCTGTCTTCCCTGCTCCTACCCACTTGCTGCTGGATACTGCTAAAAAATGTCATATGACCATTTAGCTGGGTTCAGTATGAATTTGTTATCTAATGTCAGCTGGATTCTCTCTGATGCGTGGCAATCCTTTTATTATTTTTGAAATGACTATCATGTTCTCCTCAACAACTGTTCTAAACTTCTTCTTTCCTCTTTTCCCCTTCCTTTCAGTAGAGAAACTTGCCTCCTACTTTGCTGAAAACAAAACTAAAACAATAAAAAACAAGAGGTCAATTGTTAAGAGCCCTCTCTTCTCCCTTATTCCACACTTCAAAATCCCTCTTCATTATCCCCCATTCTCCCTTCCTTTACTTTAGTCTCAGATGAAGGGGTGGCCCTTCTCTTTGCCAATGCCAACATCTCCATTTAAGCCATAACTAGAAACCTTTTCAACTATGGTAAAAAATAGTTGAAGGTGGGGTGGTGAGGAGCAAGACATTGGTGATGCAGAAGACAGTTTAACCATTGGTACAATCAGAGGGAAAAGGGCAGGGTTGAGAGGGAATAAAGCCCCTGGAAGAGGTATGCCACGGCAAGAGAACCAGGGTGGCAGTTCGAGTTGACAGAAGACCTTGAGGTGAGATGTAAGGGGACAATGGTTCCCAGAGAAAGGATCCCTGGCTCTCCTCCCACCACACACATACACACACACACACACACACACACACACACACACACAGCCCATGTTGGTGGCCTGGGACAAAGTTCTATTTGTCCCATGCTAATTAAGGCTCTGCCTCCATTTGTGCCCTTCCATCTCCTCTGATAGCCTACTCTCTCAATCACCTCTATTTCAATCACTATTCTATTTCTCCATATTCACCAGCCCCATCACTTCTGCCTTCAAACATGCCCATGTTTTCCCCATCCTTAAAAAATTCTCCACTTGACCCTGTCACTCCTTCAGGTTATTGTCCTAGACTTTTCTTCCCAAATTTTACAGCTGAAGCTTTAGAAAATGTCTAAATTTGTTGCTTCCACTTCCTTACTCCCATTCACTTCTCAATCATTTGACATCTGGCTTCGACTCCATCACTCATCCGCAACTGCTCTCTTTAAAGTTGCTAATGATTTCAATGCTAAATCCAATGGCTTTTTCTTGGTCCTTATTCTACTTTAGCTGTTGACATGGTTAGCCACCCCCTCCTCCCAGACACTTTCTTCATTCTTGGCTCCTGATCCTCCTCCTATTTGTCTGACCACTCTTCAATCTCTTTTGCTGGATCACTGTCCTTCTAAGTGTAGATGTCTTTAAAGGCTCTATCCTAGATCCTCTTGTCTTTCCTATACTTTCTTTAGACAATGTCATCTGTGCCTATTGGTTCAATTATCCATATATTGAAGAATCCTAAATCCATCCATATATCTGGCTCTTATGTCCTTCTGTAGCTCTAAGTTATAATCACCAACTGCCTACTTCATATATCCCACTGGGATGGTCCTTAGGCACCTCAAACTCAACACATTTCAAATGGAACTCATTATTCCTCCCCTCTCCTATTTCTGAAGAGGGTACTTCTAGTCATCCAGATTTAAAATTTGAGTCATCCTCCACTCTGCACCATCATTCACCCACTACAACCAATCAGTTACTAAATCTTATTATTCTACTTCCAGAACATCTCTTATATCCATGCCCTCCTCCTTACCCACAGAGCCTTTCCACTAGCTCAGGCCTCATTGTATCATTCCTGGAGTACTACAGTCACCTCCTAATTGATCCTTCTGCCTCCACCCTCTCCTCTCTCCAATCTATTCTCCATGCAGCTAGCAAGTTGATGTTCCAAAGGCATCGATAGATCTGACCACGGTCACTCCTTTCCTCAAAAATCTTTAGTAGACTCCCTATTGCTGCCTCTAGGATGAAATAGGAAATATTTAACCTGGAATTTGAAGCTCCCTACAGCGTGATCCCAACTTACCTTTCCACTCGTTTCATACTCCTCTTCATATAGTCTTTGTTCCAGTCAAACTGGTTGTTTTGCTCCTCTTCAAAGACATTGAACCTGCTCCTTCCATATCTTTGCACAGACATGCCCTCCCCCCATGAACTCTCTCACCTCAGTCTTACAGATGCCACCACCTTCATGAGCCCCTTACTGATCTCATAGCAGCTTGCCAGTTCTCCCTTCTTCTTTAAATGACTTTGTTTTGTATTTATTCAAATGTGTACATGCCATATCTCTCTAGTAGAATGTAAGCTTCTTGAGGACAGACACTGTTCCATTTTTCTCTAATGCCTGGCACAATATCTAGTACTTAGTAGACATTTAATATTTGTCACCCAGGACCAAACTGTTTAGACGATTATGGCTCTATAGTACCGTTTGAGATGGTACTCCTAGGCTCCCTGCAATACTATATTTTTCATTTTCCCTTGATATCTTGATCTTTCATTCTTTCAGATGAATTTTGTTATTAGTTTTCTAGCTCCACAAAGTAATCTTTAGTTAGTTTGGCTGGTATGGCACTGAATAAGTAAATTAATTTAGGTAGTGTTGTCATCTTTATTGTATTAGCTCAGCCAACTCGTAAGCAATTAATATTTCTTCAATTATCTGGATCTGTTTTTTATTTGTGTAACATGTGTTTATGTTCATATAGTTCCTGTGTGTATCCTGGCAGGTAGAGTCCTAAGTATTTTATACTGTCTGTAGTGATTTTAAATGGAATATCTCTTTCTATCTCTTCTTGCTGGATTTTGTTGGTAATATACAGGAATGATGATTTGTATACACAACTTTGCTGAAGTTCTTAATTGTTTCAATTAATTTTTTAGCTGACTCTCCAAGGTTCTCTAAGTAAATCATCATGTCATCTGCAAAAAGTGATACTTTTGTTTTCTCTTTGCCTATGCTTATTCCTCTAATTTCTTTTTTTTTTAATCTTCCGATGTTTAATGATTATTGACTTGAATTGGCCAGGAATAGGGCTCAATGTGTGGACATGGTCAGGGTTAGGGTTCAGTCTATGGCAAATTCATGGCTGGGTCAGGGTTAACTCTGGTCAGAGTTAAAATTCAGTAATGCTCAATGTGTGGTTGAGATTAAGGATCTACCTGTCACCAGGGTTAGTGGTCAGCTAAGTGTCAATCTGTGACCAGGCCTAGAGCTTAGTGGGTTAGAGTTCAGTTTGGGCCTGCCTGAGTTTAGGGTTAAATGTGGGGCCAGAATTAGTGTTCAGCCTGTAAACAGGGTAATGGCTCTGACTTTCAAGTAGGGATTCATTCTTTGTATCTGTATTACCAAGTCCTAGCACAGTGTTTGACACATAGTAGGTGCTTAATAAATGCTTGTTGATTTATCGATTGACCACGACCAAGACGAGTGAATTTCTCTCTGGCCAAAGCTAACAGGAGTTGGAACTGTCAGTGTCACTGTGTCTTTTGGATTTGCTTTCCTTGTATTTTGTATTTCTGGCCTGGCCTTAAGAGTATTTAGATGAGGGTGGAGATGTGAGTAGGCTGAGTGATTTGGTATGTAGCCACTACTTTGTGTGGGGTCACTCAAGAGAGGTAGCCTCCATCTAGGATACTATTACTAGTCTACCACCTGTGCTAATTGCCCAGAGTTTCTTAGCTTCCAAGTTGCAGGGTACAGAGATCTTGTTTTGTTTACCCTAGCCTTAGGCTCAGTCACCATCGGCTGGGTGGGTGTCCTGGAAATTTGCATTCATACCTCTGCACGTGTTTGAGAAACTAGGGTTAGGTCTAAGAGCACTGCAGAGACTATGTAGGTCCTAGAATGTCAGGGCAGGTGGGATCCTGTGCAGGGAGGTGCATTTAGGGTTAAGGTAGAGTCATGGGAGAAGGGGATAGGGGGATAGCCCCTGAGTCACATTTCCCACGGGACATCAGCAGCCGTATCCCCTTCACCAAGGGGCAAACCCAGGTTTTTCATGTCCCCACCCCCAGCCTACAGGCCCCTTCCAGCCTTTCCCCCTCCCCCTGTTACCCCACCTTTCCTCCCCCCATTACCCCACCTTTCCTCCCCCCAGCCACCTTTGGAAGCACTGATGCACTCTGACCCAGGTAACACCCATAATATCCGTCTTTGAGCTTCCTTGTGTCCCTTCCTGGAACAGGAGAGCTGCTATTGCCCTTATATGTGTGTATGACCCTGACTTCCCCAGCCCTGACCTAGAAACTCATCATGTTCTAGGTATCAGGTCAGGTCATGTTGTCGTGAAAGGCCTCACCGTTACCTTCCACTTGGGCAGGTCCATAAAAGAGCTTTCAGGCTAGGGGACCCCTTTATCTGGGGCTGGAGTGTATGTATGTGTTCATGTCATGGTCCTGGTCCTCGTCCCAGTCTTTTGTATTGTCCCTTCCCTCCAATTTCTTCCCACCAGATCTAGGGAGGTGGGGCCAGATGGCTCTACTTACCCAGAGCAGATGATGCAAAGACCCAGTGGCCCCAGTCCCCTGACCCACCCTACCACTGCTCCAGTGTTCACAGGGTATTGCCTAAACTGAGCTGGGGATGGTATTGGGGGAGGTACTTTGGAGAGAGGGCAGGGTGCTGCCCCTTTGGTCCCATGGTTCAGCAACAGTAGGGATGCCTGCTAGGCATGGTCCCCAGCCCCAGGTGCAAGCAAATAGAGGGGGCACCACTAAGGGTAGTGTTTTTCCCATCTCTAGGGAATCCTTTGGTCCCTTTGCCCCCCTCCACCAACAGACGCTGACACAGGGGAGACAAGGTGGGGAGGAGGAGGGAGAGGAATCTCAGACCACAGAGCAGCAGATGCCCACAGGAGGGCTGTAGGGGTAGGGAGACCCTGCCTTGGCCTGACATTGGAAGCACTAAGGAAGCCCAAGTGCAGGTTGAAATTACTTTGGCACCAGGGTAAAAAGGGCCCAGAGTCTTGTAAAAGATGGACTGGAGTAAGGGCTGGGGATGGAGGAAACCCTGGGGGTAAAGTTGAGGGCATCATGGGGATACAGCTGGGAGAATTTCCAAGGTGAGAGTAAGAAGTGGAGTCAGCAGGGGTGGGGAGGGACAAGCGGAAGCTGGAATTCGAAAGCCCCAAAGTATAGAGTTGAAAGGGACTCTGGGGGTAGAAGTAAGGAGGGTTTCTGAAGCGGAAGATAGAGGGGCATTACTTTGGAACATAGAATTGGGAAAGTCACTTGTGGGTGAATCTGGGAGAGCCATGAGGTATAGAATTTGGGAGCTCTATGGGGGATGCACCTGAGGAGACTTGGGGTCAGAGCTGGGAGGATTGCTGAATGGAGGTGAATATAGAGGAAGACAGGAACAACCAGGGCAACTGGGTTCTCAACTGTTGGCCTTAGGGGCCTGGGGGCACCTTGGTCTGCTGCTTGGTGGGGCCGGACACTGTCCGGATACATGGCCCTAGTATGTAGACCTGCCGATACTGGCAGCCACACATATGGGGCTCATGTATGTGATGGGGCAAAGAATGGGCATGGGCATGAAAGAGAGGCTTCAGCAAGGCAGCATCTCTGTGGGATTCCCCAGGGAGAACCTGGTAGGGGACAGGGAGACATCAGCACACAACACAGACACAGAGAGATCAGAAGTGGCAGTGCGGGCAGAGGAGAGGTAGGGATGAAATATGGGGCATGGAAGGAGACAGGGGGTTCTCAAGATTGCTGTGGGAATGGAAGGAAGAAGGGAGAAAAGGACAAACAGACAGAAGGAAGGAGAGAAGGATGGACGGACACCTCGGCAAGCTCACACGCAAAGCTACCTGGGAGCAATGAAAACATGTCCTTCAGATTCAAAGCTGTTTGGGAGCAGGAACTCAAAATCTGCAACAGAAAGGGAGGGTTATCCGGCGGGGGGCTGGGGGAAGGTGGGAGGCCTGGGGGCTCAGAGCAGGGGCTCAGGCTCAGGCTCAGGCTCAGAAAGGAAAGGGAAGAATGGACAAGGGAGGTAGAGGGGAGTAGCAGGAGGGAGGGGAGAGATACCAGCAAAAAAGAGAGTCCCCACACTGACACTTTCATCGTGGGGCAGTGGGAGAAGAGGAAGGGGTGGGGGTGGTCCCTTTGGAAACTGCAGCATCGCAAGAGAAGGGAAGTTATAGCCAATATGTTGCCTAGGTCTGGGTGGACTGGTTTGTCCTCGCATGTGCAATGGAGTCCGTTGGCTTGGCTGTATATGTCTCCATACCACTGTATATCACATATACACGGATACACACACACACACATACACACACATATATATATACACACACAGCTATATATATGCATGGTCTGGGCGAATGTGCCGGTCTCTCTCATCGCATCCATAAAGGAAAAGAACCACATGCATTGTTCAGCTCAGAAGGAACTTTGCGGAAACCTACTGATTCGGGGATCCGCAGATTTTTGCCTTTGGTTGCTCTTGGTTTTTTTCCTTTAAAATTTTTTTTGTTCTATTTTCAGGCATCAACATGGCCAAACCGAGGGGATCTTTCACGGAGACAGACAGTCCAACCAGAGACGTGTCTGTGGCATGGTGGGGCTGCAGTGCATTGTGGCGTTCTAGGGGTACGCTTGGGACCTAGAAATTTCTCTCTTGGTCAGGGCAGTAATGGAGAAGGATCCCTTTTATCCCTGTATATAGGACCTGAAAGAGGATGTGATGGGTGAGGAGAAGGCATAATTTGGTCTAGATGGGGTCAGTCAGATCTGGAACACAGATGTCAGAGCCCTAATTCCAGCCTGCCTTGGAATTGTTGGATCTTGGTTTCCCTTAGTCTGATGGGGGTAAGATGGGGTGGGATGGATTAGATTAGGAAAGGTTGAAGGGAAAGATTTGAGGTTGAGGAGACTGTGTTCAAAATGTAAGAAGATATACTCTAACATCTGCCTTCTTGGTGCTAGAAGTGTCGGGAAGGCAGAAAGTGGGTGTTTTTGACTCCCACTAGGGGATGAGATGGAAATGGGCTGGGGCGGGGTAAGAGTGTGATGTCTGACCAGTCAGGTGTTATCTAGAACTTAGGAAGCCTAGGGAGGCATGTTGGGAGTGGGACCCTGATCCAAAAAGCACATAGCTTAGTAGACAGATTGGGATCTTCCCTGAGGGGAGGTGGCTCACCCAAATACACACAAGTGCCAGAACTGGAAGGGGGACCCAGTGCTGCTGATTCTAACTCTAGTGCTCTCTCTGCTCTATAATGCCACCTCTCCATGTGCCCTCCTTGGGAGAGGCTGTATCATCCATGGAACCCAGGGGAGCAATCTTCTAGTCAGGCCATTGGGATTTCTTACTCACCCAACAAGAGAAGCCAGTCTCTTACTTTATTCACAGGAAATGATCCCCCTTTGTTCCCCTCTTCTATATTTTCCCTCTTTTGGCCAAGGGTTTCTCATCCTCAGGGCCCCTCCCCATGCATCGCCCAGGCTACCCACATCTTCCCACAATGCACTGCAAAACAGAAAGGGTTGGGGTTTTGGGAGGGCTGAGCTGTCACTGGTTGGACTGTTGCTTTCTGATAGGACTATAAGGTGGGGTCTGGATACAAGCCAATGAGAGGAGGAGGAAGAAGGATGGGGAGAGAGGAGGAGGTAGGAGGAAAGAGGAGGAGAAGGAAGAAGGAAGAACTAGGAGACAGTCATTATTCCATTGGCATTGCATTGGCAAGGTCACCGGGTAAGGGGAAGAGGAGAGAGACAACTCAAGCTGGAGAGAACAGGGCATTCCCACTCTGCCCCGCAAATCTAGCCTGTGGTCCCCAGAGACCCCTCTTTGTCTACCTAAGAGAACCTGGAAAAGTCCTCCATGAGCCATCCTGCACAGGTCCCTGCCTCCAGGCCAGCCCACCCCTAACTATCCAGGGAAGGACATTTCAGTCTCCTTCAGCATCTAGCTCTGGACATTTCCCTCCTTTGCTGTTTGCATCCTGGGTGACAAGTTCCCGATGGCAGGGGAGGGACACCAGGAGTGGGTTCCCTTGGTAGTCATAGGTGAACCCACCCCCTCTCGCATTGTACCCAATTCCTTATGCTGTATATATATCCCTGTGGGTGAGTTCTGTCTTCCCAGACATACTGAGAGCTCTCTAAATGTGGAGTTTGTGACTTTTCCTTGTCTCTGTTCCCCACCATGTAATTAAGCACAAATCTGGGCACATGGGGAGATCAGGCAAGTCTTGGTGACCAAAAAACAGGAGGAGGGGGACACCAGGTGTTACTTCAGCACCACGGCCAGTGTCAGCAGAGAGGTGAACTGGAGTCTGGTTTGTGGATATTGGAAATGAAGGAACCCCAGCCAGGATCCCTTTTCTCCCTCCAAGAAGAGATCAAGCATTTTGATCTTCAGACTGAGGCTAGGCTCTGGGTGCTAGGAGGGGGAGCAAGGAATACAGATGGACTTGGTCCTGGGACTTGTTCCTCCACTCCCTACATTCCCCTAGCTGTCTCTGTTTCTTAGCATCATTCTTATGGTGTATATGTTTGGTTGGAAGGAAGAGAAGTTTACTTCCCAATCTCTTCTTTTTCTCCCTTTGTATTTCTGTCACCTCTATCCCTCTATCACCCTCACGAAACATGGAAAGATGTATCTAATGCCTGGAATCATTGAAAGGAAAGGAGAAAGATCCCTGCCCTTATCACTCTCTTCTAGAAGCAGTGATTCCTCTCTCCTCAGCTCACCTTCTGGGCTGGACTGTCCCCATCTTTGGGATTCCTGAGTCCAATACACTTGTTTCTCTGACCCCTAACCTCATGGAAGCTTGGAGGATGGCAATGCCAACCTAGATCAGCCCAGATCACACCAGACCAGCCTAGCCCTGTTCCCTAGATGTTGAGTTGGCTTGGAGGGAGAAAGAAGAGGAAGGGAAACAAGGATTTAGGAGATGGGATGGGGAGTGGAGAAGTGGGAATAGGGGCCTAACACAGAAAGAGCAGAGAAGAAGGAGGTATGTGGGATATCAGCTCAGAAGGACCCTGTTGAGAGGGCCAGGGGATATGGGCTCTGAAATGAGGCTCCCTTCAGAAAGGGTCCTGCCCAAGCTGGCTAGAGCTGGGAGGGATCAGAGGGAAGAAGGAACAGAACTGGAGGTAGAAGTAGAGAGAGGTTAGTTTGGCCTCGGGCAGGGCTTGGTGATGGGGCAAGCAGGGGTGTAGGGCAGTAAGGGGGAGGGTGGGGTGGTTAGGGGAAGGGAAGGTTGGGAAAGGGGTGAAGGGTTGAGTGTGCTCGTTCTGAATATACTTGCCCTTCAGTTTGCTGATTGACACTGTGAGAATCCACCATAGAGAGAAAGCAAGGAAAACAAAAACAAACACAAACACAAACAAAAAAAAAAAACAAAACAAAAAAGGGGGTTGGGTGGAAAGGGGAAGGGGCACAAACAATATTTTATTCAATGGCCATTTGAATGAAAATATTGTGTATCATAATCATACTCAAAGGAAACCTCGCAAAAAACGACATGAGAGAGAAAGAGAGAGAAAAAACTCAAAAGGAGGAAAGTCCCCAAGCCCCCCAGGAGGCAAGCCCCACCAACGGGGGCTGGGGGTGGGTGCACTGGAGGCCCAGAGCCCCAGCCATCCCCTCCCAGTCACCCCAGGGGAAGCAGCACACGAGGCAGTGGGCAGGGGTGCAGCACAGGCTCAGGAGGGAAAGCTTGTCACCCCCATGTGAGAAGAAGGGAGGCAGGCATTGGATCTATGGGGTGGGAACATGCAGAGGAAGCCAACGGCAAGCACAGGGGAGGCTGAGGGAGGAGATGTGGAGAGAAAGTGAGTGGGGGGCGGGATGGTTGGGAAGAGGGAGAGGAGGGGTTAGGTGGGCCAGAGAGCAGACAGAGGGAGAGGGTGAAAGTGAGGGACAGAAGGAGAAGCAAGGAAGAGGACAAATATGTGTGCAGGAAGAATAAAGAGAATGGAGACTGGAGAGAGGGAGACAGGGAAAAGAGGGGATGGAGGGAAAGAAAGAGAAAACTAGGGAGAGGTAGAATGAGAGGGAGAGAGGAGGA